AGTCATTTGGAATGTGGCTGGCCCATTGCAGACGCCAAACGGCATTCGTTTGAACCGGAACATCCCTTCTGGAGTCACGAAGGTAGTGTAGTCCATGGACGCTGGGTCCATGGGGATTTGCCAGAATCCGGACTGACAGCCTACCTTGCCGTAGTAGGCGTTTCCTGCGCATTGATCCAGGAGTTCGTCTGGATTGGGCAATGGGTAATTGTTCTTTTTGGTCACCGTGTTCAGCTTTATGTAGTTTATGCAGAACCTGGTGCCCATGGTCCCGTCGCCGTTTTTCTTTGAAGCGAGGACCACTGGGAAACTCCACGCTGCCATGGACGGTTCAATCACGCCTTGGTCCAACATTTCTTGGACGTGCTTATTTATGAACTCTCGTCCCTTCCAACTCGTTCGGGTTGGGTTCATTTTGATTGGTGCAGCGTCGCCAACTTCTATGACGTGGGTCACTCCTTTGACGTCGCCGTAAGGCTTTTTGGACGTCGGGAATATGGCCCTGAGTTCCCATAAGTCCTGACGGAGTAGAGCGGTCTGCTCCTCGGTCAGGTAATCGCCAAAATGTGCGTTGGCGATGTGGGCGCGGATTTCGCGCTCCACTTCTGGATCTTCCTCTCCAGTTTGGAGGGAGTTGACCTTGGCATAATCTTCGTCCGAGATTTCCTCGTATGGCTCCACTTGGCCCATGTTGACTCCTTTCCGGAGTATATGGGACTCTTTGGAGTAGTTTGACACCAGTATGGTGAAACTGTTGCCATCATGCTGGACTGGTCCGTCGAGCATGGCCAGACTCCGTTTGGTGTCTTGGCTTCCGAGGTACATGAGTTTCTGTCTTGGGTCGACAGGAAAGTCAATGCTAACTTGGACCGGGGTAATGGACTCCGGTGGGAGTTCCACTTTTACTGTTGCCCGGACCATAGCATGGTCATTAATGGTGGGGTACCGGTTTGGATTGTTCCCTGCCACCTTTGGCCATGGTAAGGCATCGGCATTGGGAATGGACCAATCTACACCATCCTCCTTGATATCTGGCTCATAAATGTCGCTATAGTACATATGGCCAATCTTTGCACCCTTGCGGAGGATTTGGTCGCGTCGGGACTTATTTTGGACCTGAATCCACGCATGTTCGCTATTTCGAGTTTGGACCTCCGCTTCGATCGGTAAGACCAAGCGGTGTGGTCGTCTCAGCGATTTAAAGTGGATTGGCCGTCCCGGGTCCATAGTCCGATAGGACCGGACCTTAATCCAGCAAGTTGAGTATGCTGGTAAAGTGTACCGCTGATGAACGAAGACAACTTCTCTCTCCTCCTTAAGGCAGTCCGTTGGACGTTCGGTCCGCAGTTTGCGGATTGTCGGTGCCTCGGCCCGGAGTTGGAGAATTTCTGTGTCCTCTTCGTCATCACTTGACTCCTCCGATGATTGGTTATCGGAGTCCGTGTCCGGTGAGTCACTTGAGCTTTGGACGTCCGAATCGGTAGACTCGGGTTTATCGTCCTGCTCATGTTTTGGCTCGCCATTGTCCTCGTTAGAGGTTGGCGGCCTGCCGGTCACCGTTGGTGCCGGTGTGGTCATAAGATCCTCTTTTTGGATCTCTGGCGTCCCGGTTGCGATTTCCTGTTTCTCAGGTTCGTCCGGTTCCGCCGAAGTGGTTGGACGGCTCCCGTTAGGGAGTGGCGAGGCTGGTCGGCCTCTTGCCCAACGTTGAGCCGAACGGGTCTGTATGGCCCGTATTACTGCTTCAACGCCGTCTCCACATAGAGGACAAGTCAGTGGGACTTCCTCCGATGAAGGGTCCTGCTCGTTCTGGCTGGTGTCCCTTCGATGGCCTCCCTGTTCTGGGTGTGGACCATCATTGAAGCGCACTTTTTTCGCTATATGCGGTGCTGCTTCTGGCAATGGTTCTGGTATGGTCCTGACGTTGGTCAGGCTCAGATCATATTTCGGCCATATGCTGACGGTTAAGCCAGGGTGTTGGGCCACTTGTCTTCGGAGTGTTATTATGTCATCGAAGAGATCCGTGCACATCTTTTGGAGTGCTTTCGGAGCTTCCATGTGGTACTCTCTGTACTCCCACACTAGGGCTAGACGTTCGTCCTCCCATAAAGCTCCTTCTTGGACCAAGTCGTCCAGTTCTTGGGCGAATGGTCCGTATTGTTCGGCAATCTGCGGTCACGTTAGTGGTACGCCTTTTTCTTCAAGCCAGCCCTCTTCTAGGGCAAGGATCCGGCCAGCGCGGTATTCGAGGAAGTTTCTGACCCCCGTAAACCAAGTTTTGTATCGCTGGACCAGTTTCTCCTTAATCTCTCTGTCAGGCACCGGCCGTTGGCCCGGTGCCTCTGGTATCGGGATAGTCTTTACTATCCCGTGATTTGGCTTGAGTATGCCTGCACGGAATTGAGTCATGTAACGCTCAATTGCGTTATGGACGCGCAGCTCCCATATGAGGCTTTCAATAGTGTCCAGGCATTCCCAACAGGTAGAAGGAGAACTCGTCGGGTGATCAAGCCGATTAACTCTCACTTCATCATCGGGTCCCGGTGCCTCTGGTATCGGGATTGACTTTACCGCGTCCCAAACGATTTCTTCGTTTGGCTTGAGGATGAACGTAAACTTGGAGTGAAGATAGTCACAGCCAAGTAATACGTGCACGTCCGTTAACGTCGGTTGGACGAAGAACGTGTGGTGGCTCTTGTATCCCTGCAGTGTCACCGGTACGGTGCAGCAGTGAGAGACGACGAAGGCGGTTTGTCCGCCGACACCAAGGATTTTGGTGTTCCGTCCTAATGGCTCTGTTTTGATGCCATTGGCGGTGCAGAATTGCTGGCTGATGAGGGATGTCTCCGCTCCGGTGTCCAGCATAGCGAGCGTGTGGACTGGTCCAATTTGGACTTTGTGCGTCCATGCTCTGACGGTTTTCGATTTGCGATTCTCGTCCAGGCCAACTGTCACTTCCCGCATCACCGGTACAATGGGGATTAGCGACACTGGTCCTGGACCATCAGGAGCGTACTTGGGTGCTGCTAGCTCCTGTTGGACAGACTCTTCCTGTGGTGATGTTTCCGCACCCCGTAGGGTCGAAAACATATTTTTGGTGTTCAGGAAGGTCCGTGAGCTGTTGATGGTTCGCACCGTTGGTGTGGTGCCGAGGGGTCGTCCACCGGTCTGGGGCCAGCAGGTGCGGGGACTTGACGCCTCAAGAGGTTCGGCTGTCCAATTTTTTAGGGATCCGACCTCGCTGTCCGTATCTTGTACGGACCATCCTTCCGGTGCGCTGTCGGAGGATGTGTCTGCCGCCGATTGTGGATACGTCATGTTCGTGGTGCGACGTCTCGCTTTGCCACGTATTCGGTTGGCCTTAGCAATAGCTGCGGCTCCGAAATTTGGTGATCGGTTGGCCTTGGGGTTAGTTAAGGCTCCGAAAAACGACTTGGTCGCCAGCTGGACGACTGTCGGCCTGGCATCATTTTTAGAGCCAGGTGGCTTAGGCGCTGGTTTGCCGCAAAGCCTGGATCCGCCGGTAGGCTGTTGAGCCATCGATTTGGGATCCATATAGGTTAGTGACTGTACAGGGGTTATGTCCGGCGGTTTAGGTTCCGGTCTTAGGTCAGGTGAGTTGCCTATACTCCCCGACCTTAAGCGTTTCCCGCGGTTGGGCTAGCCCGGTTAGGGCTGCCTCCGCTACCATTTGGCTTCACCAGCTGGTCCGGTATGGGTGGTAGCGCTGGCATTTCATTAGCCGGCGTTTGGTATCCCTGCTTTGGACCATTCTGCCGGTTGCCGCCACCAGACCCGTTTCCTGAGCCGGTGGACTGTCTTCGGCTGCCATTCCCCCCAATACCACGTTGTGGTCTGGGTTGTTTGGGTGGCACCAAGCCGAAGCGGTTAGGGTTTGCTGACCCGGTAGGGTAGCCCTTTGTGTAACGGCTCCTCCAATCCAAGTACCACTTTCGGTTTGGATTTTCGGAGTAAGGCCTGTTTGCATAGCCACATCCGTCGGTTGTGTGGTTTCCCCACAGGCAGTGGCTGCAGGTAATGATTCCGTCTTTGGCCCATCGTTCGAACATGCGCTCGACTCGGTCGATGTACATGTCCTCTTGTCTGCGGGCCTCTTCGGGGCTCAGAGTCTGGCGTTGGCCACTCTGGCCTCCTGGGCTTCGGTTTTGTCCTCCAGGGCTGTTGCCGCTTTGGTTTCCGTTAAAGCTGGCGTTTTGGCCCTTGGAGAACTTGCCCTTTGGTCCTCCGCCGCTGTTGCCCTGGCTGTAGCCATAGTTGCCCTGGTTTCGGGCCTGGCCATAGCCGCCAGTACCGCCGTTGGGCGGTGTAGGCCCACGTTGTGGGGAGGCTAAGTTCAAGGCCGCGATGGCGGCGTATGTTGCCTCAATTTGGGCTTGCGTAGCCTGCGGGGGATAAAGTGCCGGTTGTTGTGGTACGACTTGGGCTAGTGGCGTTTGTATGGCCGTTCGGCTTGTTGGGTATCCACGGCCTGCCTTCCCTTCGTACTCCGGCTTTCCCATTGTGTACTGCCGGACGTAGTCCCGGAATTCTGCCGGTGACTTTGGTATCCGGATATCCAGAGCGCGGCGCAGTTCCGGCTCTTTCACATTCTCTCGCAAGAAGTGAAGAGTCATCGTGTCATCCAGGCCTGCACGCGTCTGGAGAGTCAGCATAGCATCGTAATACTGCTCAGGGGTTTCGGTCAAATGTTGATAGTACCAGACTTGGCCCATTTCTCAATTTCTCACCTTCACCTCACCTCCTTCTGCCTTTTATTTTCCCACCTCAGCCCACCTCCAGCCGCGCAAAATCTCATCCCGGCTCACCTAACGTACCCCATTTTCACACCCACTTTTCATTTTTTTAAAAACTTTTAAAAGTGCTCGATTTGAGTGCTAAATGCAGAATTTTACTTAAATGCGGATGACCTATTGTGCATTTGACCTAACAAAGAAGTGTATCTTACATCTACGCTGTATCTGCAGACATTTTATTACCGGCTACCGAGAAATCTCATCACTGGTTCGCTTATCACCACGCTGCTTTAGATCACGATTCAGACTGCAAAACAATAATGTTTCGAAATTGTAATCCGTAGTACGAAGTCTACGTTCAGAAAGCAAGTATCCGGCGACACTAAAAATCCGCTCCACTCCTGCTGTCGTTGCGGGAGCGCACAGTATTTGTTGAGCAATCCGGGATAAACGTTTGTATTTATCAGCTTTAGATTTCCAGTAGACAAGAGGATTCACTTCGACGCCGAAAGACTGATCGACTTCGCACATATACATCTCATACTCTGCAATCACGCTGAGGACTTGACCGGCAGAAGTTTGTAAAGTTGCAGATAATTTCGGCTTTTTCAAAACGGAGAACAGGTTTGACGATGTTGACGGCAGTGACACAGGCTCTTCCACAGGCGAAATATTCAAGTTCACTCGCTCCATCATGCCAATCACTACCGCTTTCATCTCGGTCGCCGTTAACGTCCCAAACCCACAATCGCACAGTTCAGCTTTATAATTCGGATCCAGGAATAATGCCGCAATATAAACACTGTCACTTTCAGTATTACAGAATCGAGTATTAACTTCGGTGAGTAGATCGCGAGCATACGACTTCAGCAGGCTAGCCGGATTATCAGCATATGTCTGAAAGTAAATTAGATAAAAATTAAAATAGTTAGAGCGTATTCCATGAAATAAAAATACACTGTATTTATAATAGTAGTACTAATACATGAAGTTACACAGTGTACGAACTACGAACAGTATTTATGATTTACGTCATGTATTATTTAACCATTGTGAATTACCTGAAGATTTCTGCGCAGAAGGTAAACGGCCGGAATAACTTGACATACGGTGGGATAACTCGCGCTCTGCAGTTTAAGAAACAACTGCTCAAATGTGCTCGTCACGTTGATAAAATCTTGCAGAATTCGCACATCTTCAGTAGTGAGTCGGTGCTTTTCTTTAAATATCAGTCCATCTTTTTCCCAGTTGTACTTCACTGCAACCTGAACCATCTTGTAGTTAGTGTTCCACCGGGTAACGCAGCGGCTGGTAAATTCACGTCCAAAGACTTTCACAATCTGCTCCGTTTGCTGCGGAGACTTCTTCGCGGAAGTAACGATCTTTGCGAGTTTCTCAATTACGGCGTTCAACTTTCCACAATTTTTTACTGGGTTTTTCAAACACAGCTGCATGGTATGGGCGACACATCGCAACTGCAAATAATTAAAATATCCCTGTTACGCAATACACAGTACAGCGACAAACTACAAAGTAATAAGTATTAACTATTAACTACTACTTAACTACTACATCTTAGTATTAACTATTAAGTATCAAGTTCCCCTTCTCGGTAACGTATTAAAACTGCTATTTATTTAGTAGTTTTTACACAGCAAAATTTCGCTGTACATCAGCGTTTCAGTTTCAGCAGATACGTTCCGTTTTAGCATTAACTAAACACTCGTACGCTTCTATTTAATTACGATTCCGTTTCCTCTAATTTACACTGGTTTCTGTACCTGAATCGATCTACCGTTGATAACACACTCTTGCTCTAGCAGACCGCATACATCCTTAGCTAAAGTGGAATCCGAATCCAAATCCTCGGGACTAAGGTAGTCGATATCGTGCTCCTCATTGCCTACTGCTTCAATGGGACCATCGTCCGTATTATTCCCATCACAGAACCCTTCCATAAAACCAGGCATCCAGTCTTCAAAAGCTTTTACAACGTTGCCACCATTATCAGTGCCCACGTAAATCACTTTTTTTCGAATATTAAATTTCTCCAGTATTTCAATCACCAGTTTGAAAATTTCCTCCGCTCCGTGTTTTCCTTCAAAGCGCGTGCACGCAAGTAAATGATTCCGCAAGTTCCACGACGAGTCGATAAAATGAACAGTCACGCCCAGGTAGCCGCGCTGTTTCTTGCTACTCCAGATATCGCAGTTGATGGCCACAAAATCGACGAACTCTAGCTCTTTCTTCAGCAGATCCACGTATACGCGATCGTATTCCGGTATCATATGGCGAGCAATGTATTTTCGTGTTGGCCACTATAAAATAAATGAAACTTCATTAGAAACTACAAGTCACCAATACACAATTATTGTTGCGCATTACAGCACGTAAAGCAGTAGAACAACAATATCCCCAGCCGTTTACATCTCGTATTGTAATTATACCTATTACTCACATGTAGTCGTTCGTCGAAATTCTTCACCAGCCTGTCCCAGCACGGATTTGTAATGGCGTTCACAGAAATCAGGGTAGAAAAAAGGCAGTCCGCCACACATTCGTTTAGAAGTCGTTGCTGGCGGTGGTCGTTACTGTACGGCGTGACTTTCTTTTCTACGCACTTGAGACTGTCGATCTTTGGTTGCGCTAAGTCAGACGTGGATTTCCCATGAGCAGTTATAAAATCTTCTACAACCTAAAGCAAAAAGTATAAGATATTCCACTAGTTTACGGGCATTTCGTTTGCTGTACCAAAGTGTTTAACTTTCTTGCGATATTAATGCAGAAAGTTATGACAGAACGTCATGTAAAGCGCAGTACTCGTACAAAATTACGCACGTTACGAAATTTTTATGGAAAGATTGAAAAATGACATCTAAAACGGTTTACTTACTGGCTCCCGTGCGTGATGAGAAACAACGTGGATCCTAAACTTTCCGTACGATTCAAAGTCCTTAACAATCTTCCCTTTGGCCTTCTTGCAGAACTTGCATTTCGCGCTGTGCAGCTGCCCCGTTCGTGAGTTTCTTGTTTCTTTTATGGACGAATGGCCTTCGTAAAGATGCAGGTAGAACAGCTTCGGGGATATAGTATCAGCCAGCGGATGGGATTTTTGGGAATTCGCAGGTTTCTTCGGATCTCCTTCGTCATCGGAGCTCAGCAGTTCCACAGTGTCTGTCGATTTGGACATGCTCCGTGCTGCCAGATGATCGCACGAAACTGGTAGCGGTTGGCGGAGGTTTCAGAAATGTGGATTTAAGTAAGAACAATCATTTCTCTTCCAAATGACAAGTTACGAAACTAATCTATATCACCCAGAAATCACAGTCCAAAGCTGCAGTTCTGAAACTGCAGCTTGCTTTGTGAGGTGCTCGGCCTCGCACTGCACCGAATATACTCAACCACTGACACAGTGCCAGTGCCATTGGAACAGCTGCTTCGAGCGGGCTTACGAAATATCAGTGTTCGATCGCATACCAGTGTAAAGTTGTAAACGTTGTCTTGACTGAGTGGATTTGTTAAGATTTCACACTTGGAATTGGAATTTCTGTTAGCGTATTCGTTAATTCTTACGCCGGAAACAAATTGATTAACTGCTGATAATAATTACAATTTTATTTTATTACGAAGCAACCCAGCCCATTCTCAGCCCATTTCCATAAAAGATTTTCATCCCATTTTTTAAAAATTCAGCCCACCTCACCTCATCTACGGCTCTTTCCCACCTCATCCTCATCTTCACCTAAAAGATGAGGTGGGCTGGGAAAAATGGGAAAAATTTTCACCTCACCTGAAAGATGGGCCAAGTCTGGATCATAGTACCGATGGGTAATTTCTCCCATGGCAGTTGCCTGCTGATTATCATCGCCGTATCGAGTGGCGAATTTCTGGAGCCACTCTTCCACTGTCCAGCCGTCCTCGTCTTCGCGGTTGGCTTGGCCAGTGTACCATTCTTTTACAGGGTCCGATAGGGCCATGTAAATGCGGCTCATGAAGTCCGGATCTGGTTTATTCAGATCGGACGACTGCTTACAGATCCGTCGGACCTGTGCAAGCCATCCTTTCACCATTGTTTTGTTGCCATCAAATTTTGGCAACACGGTGCGGACTTGAGCTCTCGCGGTGGCTTTTCCCATCTCTTGGGCCATTTCCTTGATTTGCTCTCTGGTTGAGAGGGAAGGACTGGCCGGTGGCGACGGGGCAGGTGTTAGCTGCATTGGTATCTGCGGCACCTGCTGGGGTTGAGCCAACATTGGCTGTCCCGGTATAAGCTGGATGGCCCCGTTGGACGCCATCCATGCGTATGCTCCATTCGGGAGCTGGACCAACATGGGCGCATTTTGGCCCTGGCCTGGTTGGGCTGCTGGTCCTGGTGGCATGGCCGCTGTTGGCGGTATGCCTGGTGGGTTGGGCACGTTTTGGCCCGTGGGCGTGGTTTGGCCCATCTGTGGCTGAGCTTGGCCCGTTGGGGCTGCCGCCGTGGTAGGAGGGCCAAATAGGCTTAGTTGGCCTACTAGTGGTGGTTGCACCGTTGGTGTACCACTTTGGCCTCCCATCTGTCCTTGTGTGGTTGGTGGCCCGGACATTGGGCTCAGCGGGTTGGTCCGGTTTGGATCCATACCGCTGGTGTGAGCCTGGCTTGTGGCCGGATGTGGACTGAAGTTAAAGTCCATGTTCGGGAATATGGATGGGTACAAGGACGGATACTGTGGCCTTGACCCAAAGTAGCTGTGGCTGGGTATTGCCTGGCTTGGGTCAAAGCCTGGCCCGCTTGACGTAGACGGATGAGTCTGCGTTGCGGGTGTCACTATCGTCGTTGGACCGATAGTGGCTGTTGTGGTGACCGGGATTGGTGGTGGCGGCAGCGTTACTGTCGCCGTGGATGATCCCTGGTTCACCTGGCTGGGAGGCGTGGGTATGGTTGGCCCCGTTGGGGGATGTCCAACCGATGGTCCTTCCACAGCCATGTTAACATGGTAGTTCTGTTGGTGATACACTGGCTCGCGATAGAAGCGTTGGCCCTGCCGCAAAGCCTCGTCGACTTTTTCTTGTCGACGCTGTGTATCCGGGTCCGGAAAGGTATGGTAAGACGGTGGTTCCGCGGACATCTCAGAATGTAAGTTCTCGAGATGCGATTTCTCCGCGTCTAAGCAGGCGTTTTCCGTGCCTAGCCTTTCCAGGTCCTCGTTGAGTTCGGTTATACGTTGGGTGGCCGCCTGGTAATCTTTGACCAGGCCGGCGTTGTTGGCCTCCAATGTGATGATCCGGTCATGTTGGCCCTGGATCACCTGTTTGGCTTGGTTGAAGGCCTGCTCCAATTGGACAAAGTTTTGATGTCCAATGGCGCTGTTTTGCTCAAGTTGGACCCGAATGGTTGATTCGGTCTTGAGCTGGCTCTGGAGGGCAACAATTTGTTGCTGGAGTTGCACGTTCTGTGCCTCCTTCTGTTGAACCGTTTGGCTCAACAGTCCTCCTTGTTGAATTGTCTTCATGAGATTTTGATGGCTCTCATAAAGGAGGTTATAGCCGTTGCGCAGGCGATTGATTTCGTCCTGCAGGTTGGCCAAGTCGTCGGTAAAACGCTCATTTTCATTCGAGAGGCGGTCCGCCTCTGAATCGGTTTCGTCGATTGTGGTCCGGGCCGCAGTCAAGTCGTCCTTGGCTTTGGCCAGTTCAGCCCTCGTAGAGGTGAGCAAGGCTTCGAGTCCCGCCACAGCCATTTCTAGGCTGTGGATTGTCCTGCCGAGCTGGTCTCGCTCAGCATTGGGACATGGTGACAACTTGAGCTGGGTTAGCTCAAGTTGGGTCTGGGCCAGTATGGCCGAGACACGTTTAGCCTCTGCGTCCGATTTGGACGCAAGGTCTGTGTGCTTGCAGATCTCGTCCTGCATCCAGCGTTCGGATAGCAGGGCTGCTTCTGCAATGTCCGCTAGCTGTTTAGTCAGGTCCCGTACTGTGGTCCGAAATTGGTCGACTTCGTCGATCTCCTCGGGCCGGGTTGCCTGGATCAGCTTTGGCGGGCTGACGTTGGCGCAGCTTGTGTCCCAGGAGGGCTGGTTAAGGTCCATCCTGGCTGTGGCCCTATTAAGTTGGGCCAGGTCCACAATTGGCTCTCGGTCCGGTTTGGACGGGCCAGACGCGCCGATGACGTCATTGGTCGGCGATGGCGTTGTATGGGTTGAGCCATCGATCTCAAACATGATTGGCGACTGACTCACGGGCTGTTGGCACTGGTCATCTGCCTTTGGACCAGCCTTTTTGGCTTGGCCCTTGGCCTTGCGTCCACCTTTGGCCACCGTTGGTGCCTTAGGTTGGATCTGGTCCAAGCCCGGTAGGGTTGGACGTGCTGTCAGATCCTGGACATCAAGGTTGGACCGGGCCAAGTTGTTTGGCCCTGGTCCATCGGTGCGTGTCTTGTCCTCGCTTGTGGCCGCCGTTGGCGCCTCAAGTTGGACTTGGCCCGAGCCAGGAATGGCCGGTTGTTGTGCCAAGTCCCGAGGGACACTGTTGGCCTGGGCCGTCCTATCGGCGCCAGGTTGGCTGTCCTGAGGCTGGTTGGCCTCGGACAACTCGTCGGACGCTTCCTGGAATGTGTCGTCCCGGGTGGCGTCCAGACTTTCGTCGCTGGTCTCCAGATCAGCCGGCAGGATTTGTTTGTCCCGCCTGGCCCTGGCCTCGACCGAACTCGTAGAGCCGGCCGAGTTTGGCTCGTCCGGGTCAGAACTGGTTGGCCTGGCGCTACGAAGCCCGTAAGGCCCCGTTGGTTCGCGCGTGGCGTAGTTCTTCCCGCGAGGCTTGGCATAGTCATTTTGCTGGCGCCTGTCCATAGGACTGAGCATTCTCCGTTGGAGTTGCTCATGGCTGGTGTATGGCATCACCTTGGCCAAGGCGCTTTCTGTTTGGCCCATGGTATTGGGACTTAGAAGTTTTCTTTGGTCTTGGTCCGGACCGGAACGGGTTGGATCGCTGTCGGTGCTGGTCAGGTATGCTAGAGCTCAGGTTTAGCGTTAGCTTCCTATGGCCCTATGTTACGTTACTGACCAGTGTGACGTCAGTTACAAAATGGTCTTGCAAAAAGCTCTACGTCACGAGTAGCGTGCCGTGAGCAAAAATTGCAAAAAAGTATGAGTCACTATGACTATTATAACACGGGGAAGTTTCCCACGCGTTCTGATTGGTCAAATTTTTATGGAAAATCACCACGCTGACGTCACGCGACTTTTTCGCGAAAATTCCGGCTGGACAAAATGGCGGTTGTTTTTCGCCGAAAATTCGCCAAAAATTATGGAAATATTTTTCGAGAGTTCTGTTACACTTCTCTAGTGCAGAATTTCTCAAGGAATCCGAAAAAGCTATTTTTAAGCAAATCGGATGAACGGTTGAAGAGTTATGAAGGTTTTTAGGTAGGTTCTCCGCGGAGACCTCCAATTTTAGAAAGTCCTACGAAAACCTACGACGCCACAGCAGGTCTTACCGGTCGTTTTTTCGATCCAGACAGTGCTGCTCCGTCGTCCCCTTCACCCTCTTCTACCGTGAGGGCCGCAGCGCACCCGATAGGGCGTAATGGTGTGGCAGGACCGTACCGAACGCAGTTTTTGCGCCGGGAGCCAAAGCTGCGGGAGGCCCACTTATGAGCCTGACCCGTATCAACGCAACCCGGTAGGGCGCTTATTTGGTCAGCTGGAACGTACCCAACGCAGTTTTTGCGCGGGGAGCCAAAGCTGCGGGAGGTCCACTTATGAACCTGACCCGTATGAGTAATCCGTCGCGCTGCGGATCTCCAGTGAGATCCGTATGATGCAGGAGATGATGGTCGCGGTATGGCTGGCCTACTTATAGGCGATCAGCGTAGTTCGACCGTGTTGCCTTCACTGGGAATCAGAGGTCTCGCAGGAAAGAAAACCGAGCGAGTCTGCTACCATGTCAGATATGACACAGAAGCAGATGGGAAAATGGGGCAAATATCGCCTTTATTGGTAACAATAAAGCAACCACAAACAAACACAGAAAACCAATGCGGTATCACTGTGGAAAAAGTAGCTGCGAGCGCGCAAGTCAGTAAAAATGGTAATGATACAGCGTGCTGCAGGTATGCAACAGCTGATGCCGTAAAGCATGGAATCGCTCGTAGGCGCTGGGCTACGCCCCCAAGAGTGCAGAAATGCGCTGATTGGTCAGCGTAGACAAAGTATACGCTGAGTGAGCAGCGTAATAGCGCGGCACGAATGGAGTAGCCATGTGCGGGGGGGGCGACAGAGCAAAGCCACAAGAGGTGTCTACCGCCTCGAGTGTGCGGTCTCTGACAAACGGTGGCATAGATGCTCTGTCGCACTTC